TTTCAAGCTATTGACCCAAAAAAACACATACCTATTTGTAAGTTTTTCACGGAAATCGCTAAAAACAGAAGCCTTTAAAAGGAATGAGAATCATATAAGTGTCAACTGCAAAACAATTTTCGTGTGCCTTACAAGTTGAAAAAAATTACACAATGAACGTGAAATATTTTATTCTTTATTTCCTATATTCAAATAGGAAACACACTAAATGAGTCGGTAATTATGTATTTTTTTTTATCTGAAAATATGATTTATTAAAAAAATAATAACTAAATATTCTAGTAACGTGGTGAATAATATAGTAGTAATATCTCTAGACACCTTATATCTATAAAAAATATTTTCACACTGTGTATTAAAAATGAACATGTACTGATTTTAGCAACTGGATGAAATGTATAAAATATTAAAAGCTGAAGTTGATGCAAAACCTTACTTAAGTGCTGAAATAAACAGGCGTGTAGTAACCAGATGCTTAAATTACCAAAAAGTGCGCGAGATGTTTGAAATCAATGATAGTGACGCCAAAGAGATAATTGATTGCATGTGGAGTACGTTGAGTTATAATAATTAAGTAACGGTTAGACTAATTTAAATGATATTGAAGTATTATTTTTCTTTAAGAATTTTTTTTTCAACGCGATTTTAGGTTGTTTAAAAACTGAACAAATCGACAAATAAAATTATTGTTTTTAAGAGATATGTAATAGGTACCCTTAAATATTGTTCATGAAAAAGCAATAGTAATGATTGCAACAATTTAATATTGTTGCAGCATAATATAGTTTGGTAAATTTTAATGTGATTACTTTTATTATGATTTCTAGAAGTTGATATGTCGAAGAATCAATTTAAAATGTTAGTAAAAGCCAAACTGACTGATGAGGTAATTTTGAATTGTTTGTATCCAAATATAGGATACTTTTTAAAAACAAACTCTATAAACCTTATGAATAATATAATAGTAATAATTAGAGATACATTATTTCTATAATAGTAATATTGACAGTGTGTATTTAAATAAAAAATTTAATGATTTTAGAAACTCGGAAGAATTTATAATGAGATATGTAAAAGTAATCCAACAAGTCGTTTTTTCGTTGTTTTCGGTTCCTCAGCCTGTCAAGTTGACAAAGGAAAAGTTAAAAACTACTTATTGAATCACTTCTCTTAACTTACTGAAGAGGAAATCGATGAGATAACTAAACCATTGCAGGGTACGTTGAATAATGATAATTTAATACTCACAGCCACAATGTAATGGTGCTAAAATTATTATCGAAAGGTCGGTATTGTTTTTTACAACATTTTTTAAGAGTACTTAGATGGCTTTTCATAATACCCGTTATGACTAAATATTGTACATAACAGCGCAATAATAATAATTGCAACCAGTCAATTCGTTACAGCATAATACAGTTTAATACATTTTAACGTGAATACTTTTGCAATGATTTCTAGATTGCCATATGGAAAAATATACATTTCTAACAGCAATGATGACTCGACCAGGATATAAGAACTTAGTATAAGTTACAACACCTGCCGGTGGTGGATTTAAACATTTGCAACCTCTAGGTAAGTAATTTGCTCACCATCTTACCATTACATTTATCGTTTCTACATATGATTATATTGTATAGTACATACATTTGATTTTAAAGCGATAAATAAAAATAAAAATTAGGACACATTTTAGGGTTGTAGAAAAAATAAAAATAAAAAGCCAGTAACATGGCATAATTGAGACGGAACAAATTGAATGGGTTTAGAGTACCGACCCTTAGAATGAAAAATGAAGATAAAATGTCCCTTTTGGAGGGTTAGAACTTCTGTTATTTTATTGGATTGCCAACGTTTTTTCAATAGTACATTATCGAACGAATATAGAAGTACTATAGAAGTGATTTTAAAAAAGTCATAGCGAGCCATAAATTTAATTTAAAATATTTTAACAATTTCTTGCAGTTTTTCTAAATTTCTAAGGGAGAAGGATGAACTTTTAACATTTAAGACCGATTAAAGTGACTTTCAAGCACCATAATAGAATACAAAATCTTTACGTTGTTCCTTTAAATGCGAACAAAAAGTCTCAAAACATTACATGATTTTCAAAATAATATAATAACTTGCTTCTTAAAAAATTCAAATAATTGTCAAATGTATGGAATATTCTTTAAATCCTATAGCTGAACTCTGTAATATTACCATATCACATATGTACGTGTTGTCAAATCAAACAATTATAAATAGTTATAGGCAGCCGACCAACCATAAACGTATCAAAGTACAAAAAATACAGTTTTATTTTAAGAGCAAACATGTTTTTGTTTAATTTACCTTTTTTTAATTTGTGACTGAAGTCTGAAAATAAATTTGCTTTGTTAGTGGTTTGATTACTTTTAGTTGTACCCAACTAATTTTCATAAAGACTGACATTCCCACAAAAAGATATTACATTTTATATAATTTGACATATTGTATAATTAACGCATTGTAATTTTTTATATTTTTATCAATAATATAGGGCTAAAAAATTACCACAACATTCTATCGCCGTTTTCTATATTCAATAAGTCAAGCTATTTAAAGTATTTTATTTATGTCTCTTTGAAAAATAATCAAAGTTTTATGCTGCTGTTAGCTAATATTTCAAATTATAATTTGATTATTTGTTAAAATTCTATTGGGTGTGTGGGTTTTTTTTATTTCAATCTATTATTGTACTATTTATGTGATTTATAAATGTTATTTTTAAGCAATAAAACTATATTAAACGTTAAATAACTCGTTTTCTGTTTATTAAAAATATTAATTTACCTTAACTACAACGATTTTGTTTATGATAATAAAAAAATACATATTATATAAAAAATATAAGTATTTATTTTTAACTGTAGAGCTGAGAATAATATCAGAATCAGAAAAAATCAATTTCTCTATGATTTAAGAGCTGAAAATTAGACTTGAGATATATGTCTAATCTGTATTAACTATTACAAGAAGAAGAACAAATATTTTTTACAAGTACAAACATATCTTCTTTTTCTTCTTTGGTATTGGCCTTTAAGACCATGCCGCTAAATATTAATCTTGCCATCTGTCTCTTTCTTCTAAAGCTTTAGACCTTTAAGATAATTAAATACATGTTTTTTTTAATGTACAATGCATTAGTTAATCAATGTAATATAAATAAATGCATTAATGCATTAATAATGTATAATCAATTTTAGTGTACATTAATGATATACATTTAAATTTGCCTCATTCGATTAAAATTAATAATTGATGTGTTAAATAAAAAAATAAAATATATGAAATGGGGTATCAGAAATGACGATTTCATAATTATTTTTTATAGATTATTCGTTTTAATACTACACTCCACCTTTAATCCTGCCCTAAACTTGAAACTTCAATAACTTTAAAAATTGTATCCGAAACTGGTTATCAACCAATCAAAATTGTTGATATATTATTCTCAATTTAATTTTATTAATAAGTTAATAAAATATACTTTACCATTTAAGTATCAAAAGTTTAAGTCTTTGATTTTATGATAAAATTTTCAGAAATTTAAAACGGATCAAAATCTATTTTTTTTTAAAAATAACTTTAAAAACCTCTATTTTTGGGGCAAAAAGTAGTGATAGAAAAAAAAAAAAATCTTATATTAGACCAAAAGAATTTTAAAAACAAATTTGAGGAGATCAGGCCGATGACCGCATGGTTTGACTCAAAATGCCCCATATATATTCATTTAAAACCTTTCGAAAATATTACATGAAATTTACTATCGGTATTATTTTCCTATTTTTTTTTTTTTTTATTAAAATAAATAATACAATCTGTAAAAAGTATACAACAAGTATTCGCGATAAAACGATAATACATATAAATTGGAATATTTTGTGGAGGACCTCCCAGTGGCGGAACTCCTATTGACATTAGTAACTTTAATTAAACTATAATTACGTTTATATTACATTTTTGGGAAAATTGCTATTACAAACATATTAACACCTATTGGTGCCAATAAAATACTAACTAAACTATTATTCAATGATATTATGTTTGGACCTTGCTTCATTCGTTTTAAAAAGAGTTTAACAACAGTGGAAATAAAATCGAAAATTCTTTACTTGGTTTGGGTAAACATTTTCGTAAATACACATAAATACATTTTTTTTTCATATACAAGTAGACCATAGATTTAGGATAGAAGAGCCATAGGTTCATAAATGGACAGCGGCAGCAGTCTGAAGGGTAAGCTTTCGGTCATAAATCATGATACACCCTGTTAAATTAAAAGAAGTATTGTTTTTTAAATTAAAGAAAACAATTTGTTTTCAAAATCTGGTGCCCTACGAGATATCATCGTTTTCCCCGACTTGTAATTTTTAATTTAACTACCAAATAGCTATTATTAATTAGAAAAATTGTATACGTTAAAAAATTTGAAACTTTTGTAAGAATTGTGCTAAAAATAAATTGGCACGATCAAAGCTTTATGAAAATCAAATCCAAATATATTTAATGGTGTTTTGATCAAAAATTAATTTTACTATCATTTGTTGAATTTTGTGCCCAAAATTTTTTTTTTGTACAGTTGAAATATTGAAATATTTCTTATCTAGGTAATCGTGTCGAACCATATATTTTTATTTAAGTTATAAACTACACCGGGAAAACATAACAAATAGAGTTTTAACTCCAACCAATGTTTAAGTTTTAACAAAAATACCTAACACCTACAGAGTTATATTGCATAGTCAAATCATGCCGATGCAAACATATTTTATTTGTTCACATTGTACATGAATGTGCGTTAGTGTTTAAGAACTACAGACAATTTAAATATCATATAATGTTTATACACCTTTTTGGTTAAAAAAAACATTCAAAGAGACTGCTGACCATATTGTACTACAACGTTTTCTATATTTTTTGTAAGAAACAACTAGAGCAAACCACATACCATTTTAAAACGTTCATAGTAATTCAGTGGTCGTGCTTTTTCCCGTGCTTCTAAAATGTATAAAATCATTTGTTTATTGAGTGCGCTTATTATTTTGTGCTTGCCTATTTTTGGGTCAGAACTTGAAATCGAAAATGACATCAAAGAATTCGATCTAAATGCGATAACAACAATTGTAACTGATGATGATGATAACATGGTTGATTTTCTTAAGCAAAACGTGAACATCACTGACGAGAATCGTCCTTTATTGGGTTTTATCGGAAAAAAAGAAGATACTATGTTGAATATTTACGAAGTTCTGGATTTATATACGAAAAGTGACCAAATCCGGAAAAAAGTAAATATCTATCAGGTTCAGAACTTAATTCGACAAGGATTCGGCTGTGCGGTATCGAAAGTGACTAGTTTATATTTGTTCGTAATGTTGCACGATTTGAAGAAACTCAAAATTGATATAAAGTCTCAGAAGGAAATTGCCGATGAAATTAAAGAATATAACGAAGGACCAACACAAACAGAACACACGGAATACGGCGGAGAGGTTGCACTTAGAAAAGAACTTTTTTTTGAAAAAGATTATGGTGAGGATCTAAAACCGGCTTTGTTTAAAAGCATTCACAATACAACCGAATACAAGAGACTTGGGGAACGGTTCGGCATCAGATCAAACATCGATCCAAAGGATGACGGACCTAGTATTCCGTTTTTTGTTTATTTTGTGTATTATTCGGAATATTTGTGGGCAGGAATACTACGAAAACAAGTTATATATCAAATCAACAATGCTGTCCAATTTGAAATGTTCAAAGTTGTTTTTGGTCCTGGAAATTCAGATTCCCTAATGACTGATGACCATATAAACGACGTCGTGTGCGTCCTGGAGGAAATGTTGAAAAAAGTCGATGACGAAATATCAAGTCAGTGTGTCGATCACAATAGGAGTTTAGTTAAAAAATATGAAATATTCTTCAAAGTCTTCGGTGATGGATTTACGGAGTATTTATCTGGTTTAGATAACGGAAGAGAGCAGGATTTTTCCCGATTTCACTTGAATAAAACTATAGATGCGCTAAGACAATTAGTTCATTTATATGGTAAAGGCGAGTTGAAAGACGTGGAACCGCCAGCCAATGAATTAAATATTTCCAATCGTCCACAACGTTATACTTCGTCTACAAAAGATGACGTAGTAGCGAGGTTAAGAAAAATTTACATCGAAAACGATAAAGTAACGAATGCAACTACAGGACAGAAAAGTGACAGGTGAACAGTTTTAAAGTACTAATAAGGATGTACGATATTATGTAAAATTAGTACGGGTCTTCGAGAAAATAGAAAATAATTTATGCCTATCTCCAATAAAATTGTAGAGAAAATAAATTGTTTTTATCCGGGTGAAAACTTGTTGTCGACTAATCAATATTTTCAGTAAATTAGGTTTCAAAAGTTGGTAAAGCTCTAAAAGACAAAATTAATATACCAGCTAAAGGTCATAACAGGTTAACTGTTATAACTTTTTATTTTTATTAATTATAAATTTTAGATAACTTAACAATGATATTAATGAAAATTCCATATTATGTTTGTTTAGTTTGGAATCAATCGAAGACAAAGATGTAACTGTAGATGTAACTATAGAACAGGAAATTGACAGGTAAACAGTTTAAAAGTAGATACTAAGTATGTAAGATATTATATAAAGTTGTAACCAAAACAATAGTACGGATCGATCCGCACGGATGAAGTGAAACTTCTTTCAGAGTCATTCAACTGATACATTTAACTAGCGATATCATATTATTGGCCAGGCTGTAACTTTTAATCACATATAATGAATTCCGATAAGAGTTTCCAAAAATTATTCAATTTTTTATTGATTGTGTAATCTGGTAAAAATGTCTTTTATATTTTTTGTTATTCCATTCTTTATACCATGGAGTTCATTAAAAATATGTTGATAATACCCCTTGTTTGAACAATTTAATGCAATTAAATTTAAAAAATACAATTGATCACCAATTATTTGAATAAAAATCCACCGTCAGTGTTTCCCACTCGTTAGCCGAACAAAATAAACACAAAATTACAATTGTTAACGCGTTATCTATATGTATATAATCTTATATATATGTATATAATCTTATATATATATACTCGGTAACGTTCAGCGTTCGCACAGATTTTCCAATTTACCCCCAACCCAATGACATATCCATGTAAAAAAATTAGGGGCCTCATTTTAGGTCAAGACGAACCAATAAGTCCACTGATCAACGGAATCTCACAAACTCTGTAATACAATAATGATAATACGCTTATTTTTTTTTTTACACAAACTGAAGTGTCTCCAATTACCAAAACTACAAGAATTACAGGTTTTAGTAGCAAATTTAAAAGTACTTGTATATTATTGTAAGGTGTATGTTTTACAACGATATATTATTTTGTTTTTATCATCGATGAGCAAAAAGTAGTCAAAGTAAACGAATGTAGGCAAATAACAGCTAAAAACGTTTAACACTTTTTCCGGGGGTCTAAAAATGGTGGACTTTTTAAACTTTAATGCAAACTTATACGCTTGATTTTCTTTTTAAATAAAGAATATTTTTCCGAAAATACACAGCAATCTTTAGCAAATGATATTTTGATTATTTTTTTATGCTAACCACTAAAAGTAACGATAATTGTGTAAAATATTGAAATTTGCCATAAACGGTCGAACAAACGGTGGCCTTGGTTGACAGTTGTTAAAGTATACTTATGACGTGAGTCATCTTTTTTTTTTTGCGATTCAGCTGCTACGGCTGACGGTACACAAATACAAATTTATACGTCTTAGGACAAAATATGTATTATAGGCAAATTGTGAAATGTAGTACCTACATTTTTTTTTATGTAACTTACTAAATGTTGTAACAGTAAATCATTAAAAAGCTCTCTTTATTGTAATTTAATACATAAAAAAAAAGGTAAAAGAAATAAGTAAAAAAAAAATCAAAATTATGGATAAATGCAAAAAAATTAAAAAGTAACACTAAGATGTGCAAAAGAAAACAAAAAAAAAATGGAAATTCAAACATTGACAATTTTATATACGGTTTTTGTCGTTAAATCGACGTTTTTTTCTGCCTAAAATGTATGAATATTTATCGATGAAAAAAAAAATGTACTAAGATATTCTTGTGTGTGCACAAGTGCCCAAATTGTATGTTTTTTTGAAAATATTTTCGATTTATTATAACCTTAGCATTTTCAATATAAAATGGGCTATCGACAAAATCGCACATGGACAAACCGAAATCTTGACAATCCCCCACCCCCTGCCAGTAAGGTTGACATATTTTTGGCGCATTTTTAAGATTTAAGAACTGATAATTAGTCTGAAGATAGGTCTAACAAACAACATAAAACATGAGTGTAGTGTATATTTTATGAATAGGACGTTTACTTTTTATTTTAATCTGTAATTTGATTTAAAGTTTTTTTTTTTTGTAGATCAAAGTAGGACAACGAATGATACAAATTTTGGTTATATATTTTATTAAATCACATATCCATCTTAAGTAAGGGGAGTCCAATCATAGTCATCGTGTCGAAAAATATAAGAAACTCAGACTCTCAGTTTGGTCATACAATTGAAATTACAGCTATAGGTTTTTGGGTAGAATTTTGAAAACGTTTACTCATTTTTGTTATTTTACCATTTAGTACGTAGTAGTAATGCTTATAACGTTTTTTTCTCATTTAATGTTATTTGTATAGCAAACGGGTATGAAAATTGTGCTAAAAAAAATTGTGTTTTCGTGTAAAAGCTTAGGCGAGAATTCGATAAACAATACTTCAAATCATAATTTTAAATATTCGTTTACTTTTGAACTCGGTGTCGCTTTTAAATCACGTGTACCGATTTGCGAAAATATACAAAAACTTTTCTAACAATAAATTGAAATAATTTATAAATCGCATTGACCTAAAATGAAACCACTGATTTGTTGAAAGTTCACCACGAACTTTTGATGTTACCGTAATAGTAAATATTGTAATATTGAGTGGAATACAAAGCAATGAGCGTTTTTAAATTGATAGATCTATTTTATAACTTCGACGTGGAGCAGCGATGCTATTGGTTTTTGCAACGGTGTGAGCTTTTTTTGTGTCTGTATACATTGTAACTTTTTTAATACTGGACCAATTCTTTTGAGTGGCAACTGTATAAATCACAAAATTGATTTACTTGGTATTGAGCCGGATCGATTAGCAATTGAAGTTTCAACATTTACTGGCTCTAATTTTTATTTTTATTTAATAAATAAAAGATCAGGGTATGGTATATTATTATTGGAAACTAATTTGTCCAAAACATTATTGCATTTTTATATATTCTACGGCTGTTTTTTTTTGGTTATATCGAGATGCAAAAGTCAAACTACGGTTGCATTTCACATGTGTTTTGCGTATATTTGATTAAGCCAAGGTTAGACGACAAAAGATGTTAACACCAACGTTAAAAATTAAATATAGTAGATAGTAAACCTATGTATAAAAAATGTTTCACAGAAAAATACTTCAAATATTATAATATTTGCAAAACATCTACGATGTTCAACATATTTCATGTATTAAGAGGACACCACACCGGCCATTTATAAGGAGTAAAGTATAGGCAATTTTTTGAAATATCTTAATTTAGAGTTTGAACTATAATGTATACTTATTAATACAGTGATGAGGATACTTTATTAAATGCCATTTTTTTTTTGTCAGACTATCACAGACATTTCTATAGGATAAAATACAATTTGTTTGCCATCAAAACTGCTTTGATAAATACAGTTGATGTGTATTTAATAAAAACTACAATTTATGCATTTGACACATAAAATAACAAAAAATAATAGATAATCAGATAACAGAGCATTACACAACTTTACTATTTATCTACTAATTTTTGGATTACGTATACAAAAATTGCCCGAAAAGAGTAAACAAGATTTATTTTAAACTTTATTAAGATTTGCGACTGAGGTCTGAAAATTTGACTGAGGGTAGATCTAGAGCAGGGTTATAAAATTTAAAGAGAAACGAGGGAATTTACTCTTGATAGTGGTAAATTTTTGGTTGTTTTGTAAGAAGAGAGAAACGGTGAACAGGTATCTGAGAAATAGCTTTATTATGTGGTTAGTTACGATGATGCCACAGTACAATTAAGCATCTAACTTGGCTAATAAATGAGACAAAATATGTAAGCATAATTTGTGTCATAATATTTTAGCTGAATCAAAACCGGCATACATTTACTATATAGGACGCCTTTCTTTTGCCATCTAGTAGTGTTTTTTACATGAATCAGAAATCGGTGGACTCCTCTAATACAAAAATTATAGCCACTTGATCTCTGATCTTTCTACGTACATAACAGTAGGCGGTTACGGTGGCGGATATTAGCGCCCAGAGTCCAGATAGTTACATAAGAGCCTTGAGCAAATTATTTTTTTTAATTTACAAAGGGTGGGTTAGGTTTAGTCTCATTAAAATCGCTGATGTTTCTGGAGCAGTATCAGGTTAGTTTAAGCCTTAGAGCAAGCTATTTTTTCCTATGGGGGTTTTGGGGCATGAGACCTCATCCTAATGAAGAATCCGGAAGGATAAGTAAACAAGTAATTTAGTTTTAAAAATGTTTTATCTTCGATGCTATGGTATTTTTAATTTATTTGATTTTTAAAAAATATCCTAATTTTAATTTATCTTAATTAATACAAATAAACATGCTTATATACATAGTTTAAAGAATAATAACTATTCTACATAAATTATAAAATACAATTAACATTTCTTTTTTTTTTACTATGATACAAATGTCAAATCCACGTAATAAAAATTGTATAATATACATATTATGTTAAAAAGTGTGAAACTTTTGTATGAATTGTGCTAAAAATAAGTTGGCACGGTCAAAACTTCATAAAAATCCAAATGTTTATTGATTGATTAATTTATCAAACATTTATTTTAATATAAATTGTTTAATTTTGTGACCAGAAGCTTTTTTTTTGTTTAGTTGGAATATTGAAATCATTCCTTTCTAGCTCATCGTGTTAAAGCATATTTTTTTTAATTTATAAAACTACTGGGAAAACATAATAATATAAAGCCTCAACTCCAACCAATGTTTAAGTTTTAGCAAAAATACCAAACACCTACATATTTACATTGCATGGTCACGTCATGCCGACATATTTTATTTGTTCAAATTGTTCACGAATGTGCGTTAGTGTACATTTACACTATTTACACGCCTTGCGGTTACTCCCATTTGGATATCTTGACTGGTTCACCAACGTTTCAAAATGGGAGTAACCGCAAGGCGTGTAAATAGTGTAACTATTGACAATTTAAGTGTCTTACAATGTTTTTACACCTGTTTGGTTAAAAAAAAAATTCAACGCGACCACTGAAAATATTGTACTACAACGTTTTCTATATTTTTTGTAAAAAAACCACTAGAGCAAACCACATACCACTTTAAAACGTTCATAGTAATTCTGTGGTCGTCTTGTACTGTATTTTTTTCCGTGCTTCTAAAATGTATAAAATCATTTGTATATCAAGTGCCCTTATTATTTTGTGCTTGACTATTTTTGGGTCAGGACTTGAAATCGAAAATGACATCAAAGAATTCGATCTAAATGCGATAACAATGATTGTAACTGATGATGATGAAGATTACACGGTTGATTTTCTGAAACAAAACGTGAACATCACTGAAGAGACCCGTCCTTTGTTGGATTTGATCGAAAAAAAAGACGATACTACGTTAAATATTTACGAAGTACTGGATCTTTATACGAAAAACGACCAAATCCAAGAAAAAGTAAGTATCGGTCAGGTTCAAAATATAATTCGACAAGGATTCGGCTGTGCGGTTTCGACGGTGACTAGTTTATATTTGTTCGTATTGTTGCACGATTTGAAGAAACTGAAAATCGATTTAGAGTCTCAGAAGGAAAACGCGAAGAAAGAAGAAGGCGAAGAGGTCGCAGTTAGAGAAGAACATTTTCTTTTAAAGGTTTATAGTGAGAAAGAAAGCTCAGATTTACTTGAAATCACTCCAGATGGACCTAATTACGATGTAACCGAATACAACAGACTTGGGGAACGGTTCCTCATCAAATCGAACACTAATCTAGACGACGCAGGACCTAGTAATCAAATAAACAAACCATTTACTCATCCGATTTTAGTTTATTTTTTGTATTATTCGGAATATTTGTGGGCAGGTATACTACGAAAACAAGTGATATATCAAATCAACTATGCTGTCCAATTTGAAATGTTCAAAGTTATTTTTGGTCCTGGAAATTCAGATTCCCTAATGACTGATGACCATATAACCGACGTTTTGTGCGTCTTAGAGGAAATTTTGAAAATGGTCGACGACGAAATATCAAGTCAGTGTGTCGATCACAAAGGAAGTTTAGTTAAAAAATATGAAATATTCAACAAGGCCCTCGAAAAAAAATTTAAGATGTATCTATTCGATTTAGATATCGGAAAAGAGGAGGATTTATCCCAATTTCACTTGCAAGAAATGGTAGACCCGCTAACACAATTGGTTGAATTATATGGTGAAGGCAAATTGAATAGCGTGGAACCGCCAATTGTGGATTTAAATTTTCCTAATTGTTCACAACGTTATACACCATCTACCAATGATGAAGTAGTAGCGAGGTTAAGACAATTGTACACCGAAAACGATAAATTAACCGATGCAACTACGGGAAAGAAAAATGTCAGGTAAACAATTTAAAAGTAGTAATAAGGATGTAAGGTAATATCATGTAAAGTTAGTAACAATTGTACGGATCTTCGAAAATATAGAAAATAGTTTAAGCATAGGCATATGCATAGGTATAGACCTAATAAAATTGTAGAGAATATAAATTCTTATTATCCTACAATATTTTAAAATTATTAGATATTTACATTTTTTAATATTTTCCATAGCTATGCTAACTTTTAGAATTTAGACAGAAACATATACATGTATATATATATATATATATATATATATATATAGTTTAATTTTTAAATTACGAATAATTAACTGACTATTTGGATTAATCGATAACCAGTTTTTAAAAAATAGTTTTAAAGTTATTAAAGTTTAAACGCATTTATCCAAAAATGGTTATCGACGGGTCAACATTTTCAGCAAATAATTCTTATTTTTAACTTAATTATTAACATAATTAAATTATAAAGTTAATCAAATATAAACGCTTCTATTTAGGTTTTAATAGTTAATAAAGTTTTAAGAAATATTAAAATTTGTATATTGTCTAATATTGTTGTATAGCATAAACAAAATTGATTTAAAAAAAAAAAATAACTACAAAATTATAATTATTTTAAGAGTAATGTAATGTAGAACGTTCTAAAATAATCACCCGGTATATAATATTATGGTATTTCAAAATTATCTGCATAACGAGTGCTGTGTTGGCTCAAGAGCTATTGGTTGATATTAGTATTTTTTAATCAATGAGTGGTTACAATAGGTTATTATATAAAAAAGAATTAAAACATTGAATAAGAAAATTGTTTTAGTTTCTCTTGATTTTGGTTAAAAAATAGTGAACTTGACAAAATAGCTATAGCAGCATTCAGGTTAACTGTTATAACTATTTATTTTTATTAATTGTAAATTTTAGATAGTTTAGCAATGAAATTAATACAATTTATGTTTTAAATTCGATATTATGTTTGTTTAGGATGGAGCCAACCGAAACGAATTAGACAGTCATTGAGAATCGCACCTAAGTTTTGGAAATGTATGTAAGTGTTTGACATACGTTTTCTTGTACACATAACAACAGTCCAGCTAAATCAGTTTTAAAATTGTAATACTATTATTGTTAGATGTTAATATTATTATATATTATTATTTATTAATTGTTCTTTATTAATGTAATAATACATTTAATTATTTTTAAAAATATAAGAAATTGTTATGGTATCGTTTTATAATATTGCTATATTTTAAACTGCATACATGTAATAAATCAATAAATTCAAGTACTTCTAAATAGTTGTGTTATAAATAAAACAGTTTTACCCATGTATTTTATTTATGTATAACATAAATAATTAGAAAAGTTTAATGTTATTTGATAAGTTATTCCGTTATATATTATAAATTTATACACGGCCGAGCCATCGGATGTAAGACACTCATTATTTTCTTAGAAAATACATTGTACTTCATTTTTCAATTGGGAACATAATATGTTTTTAATTCTGTAAATATGAAGAACCTGTTCAAACACAGCGACGGTAACAGAGTTATCGATGGTGGTCAATATTATTTAATGGGTAACTCTTGTGCTACTCGTAAACCGAACAAATTTTGATCTTGATGTAGACCCTGATGATCAATAATTATAGCAAATAACTACTTTGTACGCAATATATTTTAAAGTGTAAATATTAGAAACATTATATAATACAGGAGTGTATTATTCAAAAAATGGTTACTATGTGATAATTTAAATTATACATTTTATGTTAAATTTTCGTACAAATATTTAAATTAATATTTTTTTGTTGTATTTTTCATATAGTGTCACCAGTACAATACTATACTATTGTTCACTGATATTATTGATGAATCTTGCTTCATTCGTTTAAAAAAAAAAAAAGAGTTTAACAACAGTGGAAATCAAATTGAGAATTCATAACTTAACTTGGATAAGTTCACCAGTGTAATGGTGTGATAGAAACTTAATACAGCCAATAAAACGACCATATCAATATCAATATCTTCCATATTAATATCAGTATTAATATGGAAGCGTTTTGAAAAAAAAATCGTATTTCTATAAAACATTAGGTTTGCAAAAAGCCAAAATATAATATTTTGTTGAAAGAAGGTTGTGTAAACATGTAATAGGTACATTTTTCGGGTTTTTAAAACGGCAAAACCACTATTTTTTATAATTCACATGCCATAGCCACGATTATTTCTTTTAAAATTCAATATGAATTTTTAACCTATTGACTAAATAAAAAAAAACACATGTGTTTTTAAGCAAGTTTTACACTGAAACCGCTAGAAACAGAAGCCATTAAAAAGAATGAGAATCATATAAGTTGTAACCGCAAAACAATATTCGAGTGCCTTATAAGTTGAAAAAAGTAACATAATGAACTCGAAATATTTTATTATTTTTTTTATACTTTTTTTTTCTATATTCAAATAGGAAACACAATTCCTGATTGGGGAGTTATGTATTATTGCCAATTGAAAAAATGATAATAAATTAAGTATTCTATTAAGATATAGTAGTGATAATTCGAGACACATAATTTCTATAAAAGCTGTACTCATAATGTATACTAAAAATTAAATTATAATGATTTTAGCAACTGGACTATATATATAAAAAGTTAATAGGTGCAAATTTGATACGTACACACAAAGATATTATCAGAGATATAGTAAGAGAACACTTAAGTAACCCCAAAGTGCACGAGTTGTATGGAATCAATGAAAGCGAAGCCAACCGGATAATTAATTGCATGTGGGGTACGTTGAGTAATAATAATTAAGTAACGGTTGATCTAATTATAATTAGTATTGAAATATTAATTTTGCGTTAAGATTTGTTTTAAACGCGATTTTAGGTTGTTTAAAAACTGAACAAAAGGAAAAATAAAATTATTGTTTTTGAGTGTTATGTAATTGGTATTATAAATATTGTTCATATAAACGCAATAATAATAATTGCAACAATTAAATACGTTGAAGCATAATATAGATTGGCATGTTTAGTGCGAATACCTTTATAATGATTTCTATGTCGGAGAGGCAATTAAAAATGTTAGTGAAAGCAAAACTTACTGATAAGGTAATTATTAAAAAAAAAAACCAATACAGTGGGGTCGGGGCATAGTGGGGACGGAGAGGTCACAGGTTTACAGATTTTATTATAACTGAAAGGGATAAAAACACTTTTAAATAAACGCTTCGATGCGAATCTGTGGATAGTATGTTCAAACCAGTTATAGCGGTTTAGAAGATATCGTGAGACCAGCAATAATGTACTTAAAATTTAATATTTTGTCTAGAAACTGACTACGGCCAAAGTGTAAATTTACCCTATTTTTGGAGAGATAACTGAACCCTTGTGGAGTACGTTGAATAATAATAATTAAATAATATATATTGTATGTTGTAACATATATAGTATATGAACTATGAGTATTTAATAATCGCATCAATCACAACCACATTGATTTCATGCATAAATTATTATTAGAAAATATAAAAATAAAAAGCCAATATGGTGAAATCGGGCATAATGGAGAGGAAACACATTGGGGGGTTGGTAGAGTACCTTCTATCAAGCAAAAACGCGCCTAGAAAAAGTAAACATATTTTTAAAAAGAATTAAACTTCTACATTTTTAACTGACGAAGTACAAAAAATACAATTTTACGCACATTTTGCTGTCTTTTAAAAAGTTTAACTCAGAAAGAGCAAACTTGTTTTTGTTTAATTGAACTTTTCTAAATTTGTAACTGAGGTCTGAAAATTAGTTTGCTTTGTTAGAGTTATTTTTTTACTTTTAGTTATGCCTAACTATTATTCTTAAAAAACGCTGACTTCCCACCCGAACGATATTACATTTTATATAATTTTACATATTATTGTATAATTAATACATTTTTATCAATATTTCAGGGTTACACAATGGCTACAACATTCTATCGCCATTCACTATACTCAATAAGTCAAACTATTTATAGTATTTAATTTATGGCTATTTGAAAAATAATCAAAGTTTTATGCTGCTGTTAGCTTTTGTTTCAAATTATATGTATTAATTCTTAAGTATTTATTTTCAAGTGTACAGCTGAGAATAATATCAGAAACGGAAAAAATCAATTTCTCAATGATTTAAGTGCTGAAAATTTGACTTAAGATATATGTCTAGTCTGTACTTGAGTCATTGTAAAACAATTAAACTCTCAGCTCCACATCAATGCGATTAGTGTAAAACGTTAAAATACATTTAATTGTTTTTGAATTGAGGCATTGATACATTTTTAACATGTTTTTGGGCTGGGGGTCATTCTGAAATACACTTGGGTACCAGGATTCTAGAACAAACGCGTGTTTATTGTCATCGCCACCATATTGACCAGTCGTTTCTGAATAGTGTGAGGGAACTCTCGCGGTTGCTAGGACCCTGGACATTTTGTTGTGTTACTTGGTTTATTTTAAATAATATATATATATACATATTTCACGCATAGGACCAATTAACTTAACAAAATAACATACTAAATAATATTAGTTTTTAATAGGCTCATATAAGTTATCATCCGCTACAGCTACTGAGCAATGCATAGCAAACTTAACATAGGACCCTGGTACTTTGGAAGTGCGACAGTGGTGGCCGTCAATTGGCAATTTATATTAATTGTACGTCATACAAATAAAATCTTTATGGGTATACGGATCCGTAATGCAAAAACATATTCACGATTCAATGTTTTTGCGTGGAGCAGAGATAATAACTAGAGTTTTTTTCAAATTAATCGCGTGTTATTTTTGATGTATCATACATTAATTGATCAACGTATTATAAATAAATGCATTTATAATATTATGTATTATATATATATTATACATTATATATTATATGTTATATATTATGTATTATCAATTTTAGCGTAAATGAAACAAATTTACATTTGCCTCGTTTGATTACAATTACTCCAATAATTCAATAACGTATACTACTTGAATTTATTTCGCACTTTATAAATTATGTGTTAAATTAAAAGATAAAATATATGAAATAGGGTATCAGAAATGAAGAAGTTATAATTATTTTAAATAAATGATTCGTCAGGTATCTTCCTAGGCATAGGGGCCCCTTAAATATCTAAAGGTGTACAAATAAGTAGAAAAATAATGTAAATAAATGTATAAATATTGAAACAAACACGGGTTAGTACAAAACGTAATAATAATGTGCATAAGTTTTGTTCAAAAAATAAAAAAACATGTTTTCGTAATGATCGCAAAAAATTTATCAGCTTGAAAAAACAACAGAAATTTTAACTTCACATACACCTATGAAAGCAATACTATATTATCTGATTTGAATATACGAATACTTATAAAACAGACCTCTTTATATTTAGCCGGGTACTCTCAATGGGTTGAGACCATATGGTATAAAAAATTACACTTAGGAAAAAAAAAAGTGAAAAACGATTTAACACAAGGGCACCTGCATGTGAAAATTTATGATTTTGAAATACATCTATTCCTATCTAGGTCATCGTGTCGAACCATAATTTTAAGCTATAATATACACTAGGAAAACATAGTAAATAAAGTCTCAACTCCAACCAATGTTTAAGTTTTAGCAAAAATACAAAACAGCTTTAGATTAACATTGCACAGCTAAATCATGCCGATGCAAACATATTTTATTTGTTCCACTTGTACATGAACGTGCGTTAGTGTTTAAGGACTATTGACAATTTAAGTATCTTACATTGTTTATACACCTTTTTGGTAAAAAAAAAAAACGCTCAAAGCGACTGCTGACCATAATATTGTATTACAATATTTTCTGTATTTTTTGTAAGAAACAACTAGTGAAAAACCATATTCCACCTTTTTGGAACGTTCCTAGCTATTCAGTGGTCGTGTATTACTGTGGCTTTTTCCTGTGCTTCTAAAATATATAAAATAATTTTTAATAATATTGCCCTTATTATTTTGTGCGTGCCTATTTCTGGTATAGAACCTGAAAACATACAAGACATCAATGAACTCGATCTCAATGCGATAACAATGATTCTAATTGATGATGATGATGATGATGATGACACGGTT